AAAATTATAAGCCGAACTCATTGAAGTTTTGAGTAGTTTCCTGACATTGGACCTACTGGTATCGGGTTTCCAATTGAAAGATGTGCAACTCTTTTCTTATATTCCTCAACATTTATCATGTCAATTTGGCTTGAGCAAACCTTTCTTACTTCTTAATTCCATAGACTTATTCCACGAGGTGTCAGTTACAACAATTCTTCTCTACGAGAAGCTCTATCTCAATTAACTCCCTTGGAGCCTATCGAATACCAACCCTTCTCGTTCGAGTCCAATTTTCTGAATAATTTCAAGTTTTACTTATGGTAAGATCAGTGGTTCTCCTTTAAGGATCTACCATTTGCTATTATCAAATCACAATTAGATGCTCACCTTGTATTCCCCTCATAGGATAAAACAAAGGCTTCAAAAAGTAAATATGAACACTACCTTCAAATTACTACATTCGAGAATTACTATCAAGATTGTTATGATCCTCTTCGATTAGAAATTACCTTTAGAAGTCACCCCTTATGGTGAGACTTATTCTTTTAAATTTTAATCAGACTAAAATTGACCATTAATTTCTTAGGCTAATATTAAATTATCCTAGGAAAGAAAAAACTATAAGTGGGATTTGGTCATTAAATTTTTTTTATTTAGCCCAAAAATCAAATTGGGTTGAACTTATTCTTCTTCCTTAAGCTATAATAAATATTCAATTTCTACCTGTTTATGGCTTCAAGTATTGACATCCCATTGAAGAAACTTGTTTAGAAGTAGTGTCCTTGGTTTAGTCAAGTTTACATTCTTTGTTTGGTACTAAGAGAACAGTGGGATAGTTCGTGGTTTGAATCCCTACTTCGAATGAAAAAAAGATAAAATGTCACCTACTTCGTTAACTACGTATCTAGAAATTGAGTAAGTAGTAATTTACACTTTCATAGAATGCTCTAAGCAATCAATAAATTATATATGTCACCTTGTTTTTAGTGTAAATGATTCGTTGTTCGATTTAATTAAACTTACATCCAATTACGCGATGAATTACTTAAACATAATACAAGTTATTTATATTAGTATCCCACTATTTAACACACAATATATTTCAACTAGAGATTGGTAGCATACAAATTTTATTTCCAATATGATTTTAAATATTTTAAGTAAATTTCTAAAATAGTAAAATACAATAAAAGTAAATTGTTAAAAAGTAAATGTGCAAAGAAAGTAAATGAAAGAAAAATAAATCTAACTCATTACTAAGAATAAAACAGAAATTGATAGAAAAAATCAATAAAAATGATCATCCAAATTGTAAAGAATTTAATTAAAAATATTTGTTCTATGTTTATAGCATTTTTCATAATGTAAGTTTTTTTATACAATTGGACAATCACCCTTACTTACATTTATTTTTCCCTATTTATATTTTTCTTATATGTAATCGCTAAAAAAAATTGTCACAATGAAACAAAAATTACAATTTAAATTAAAATAAAATGTAATCAAATAAAAAGATTACGAGTAGCTACTTTATTGAAAGTGTTTTCTTTTTCTTCAACCCACATTGTCATCACGTATCTTCTATTAGTGTGCATAGATCATAAAGAGATAATAATTATTTCTGCATATCTCTTCTTGCTTCTTCGATATCTCACCTTTGTTGATGTCCTCCATCTCTTCAATCTCTTGATGTTTAAACTCGATCATTTCCTTTGTAATCTCTATTCTTTTAAATATTTCCAAATTATTCACCATATATACCTCTAGTCCTTTCAATTCAACAATCATATTATCAATCATCAATTTCTGGATACCTTAAATTTACCAATATGGTCTTTTAACATTTCTTTTCCTTTTTTGATTATGTTCTTTCGATACATTTGTAATTTTACCTCTAACCCACCTTTAAATATTTTAATACATTCAGCTTATAATGCTATAAAAACCTAATTATAATCACTACAACAGAAAGCGGCTTTCGTGACGACACTTTAGATAGCGGTTAACAAAAACCGCTTTTAAAAATATATATTAGATAGTGATTAGGAGGATGCTCTCTAAAGTATGTTTTAATAGTGGTTCAGAAAGAACCACTTTCTAAAGTAATTTATAATAGCGGTTGTGTGATAACCGCTATCTAATATCATACTTTTAAAGAGCGGTTGACACGTGGAACCGCTATAATAAGTGTAGTTTAGATAGCGGTTATTTGATGAACTACTATCTAAAGTCATATTTTTAAAAACCCTAATCCCCTTTTTTTCAACCTTGCACTCTCTGTTTCTGCGTTTTGTGCCACTCTCTGCATCTTCCACTTGCTCTAGGTTCTCTCCATTTTCCTCTGTGTCTTCAATCTCTCTCATTCTCTTGCTCTCACTACTCAGTTGGGTATTACAACTTCATTGAAGCATATTTATTTGTCGTCAAGTTCGCTTTCCAGTCTCCATTTGTCATTGTTGTTGTAGGACGCGTTTATTGGGAGGTCTACAATAGATTAGTGCATTATATATTTTTAGGCTTTTATTTGATTTATTATAGTATAATTATTTGAATTAATGTGATATTGGATACAATTTGCACCCCTGTTTTGATTTTGATACATTTAGTTGAATTTTAGGGTGAGTGTGAATTAGAAATTACAATTTAAAATTAGTATTTTGATTGATTAACATCTTAGTTTGGTCAGAATTGTTTATTTTTGCCTACATTGTGATTCTGAAATTGTGTTTTGAAATAGAATATAGGCTGGTTAGGATATATACATGGTTTAGTGTGACCTTGAAATATTTTGTATTAGAGATTATGTATGATGTTTTTGCTGATAGTTTTAGTAATTTTAGATGCTTGTTAAATGATATTATTATATATGAACTTGAGTGAACCTTTAGTTTCCCATTTGAGTCTTTAAATAATGATTTAGGATCATTATTTTGAAACTCAAATTGTCTCAATTTGGACAGTTTGGGAAAAAAGTTTTCCCACAGAACACATATGCTCAACGTTTTTAACAAGTAAACTCAAATGACTTTTTTGCATGTAAATATCCAATACGGTAAGATATTTATATTAACTTCTTGTTATTTCAGTGCCCTACTTGCATATAGAGCTGAAAGGAGGCTTCGAACGCCAAAAACAAAGATAAATCAAGTGTACAGGTATCAAGTGTACCAATTCATGTTTTCATACATGCTTATTTTACTTGGCGATTATTCTAAACTATCTTTATGTTTTTTTATCTACAAAGTGTCCTAAGCAAATGAATTTAGATGATTGTGGAAATTACGTAGCCTTGTTCATTGGAGATGCACTGCAGCATGGACAAACTATTATTCCAGTTAACGTAAGAACCATTTTTGCATTATGGCTATGTTTGTATGAAAAAAATAATGTATTGTCATTATATATCTAATTTAGTATTTAACTTTTGTGATTCTTTTCTATCTATGTTTGCACTATTTTCCAGAATCTCGCTTTGCTACCTTTTCAGACCTTAGAATTGAAGAGCTACAAAAGGAATGATGTGCATATTTCTACCATAAATTTTTTAAGGACAAAATCAACACCATTGACTCTTAGGGATTTTTTTAATCATTTCAATTATTTGATGTATATGTACCAATTTTGTTACATGCAAATTTTAGTTTTAATTTGTTAAATTTTGAATTATTTTTCTATGATTTTGTGAATATATATTGTATGCTTGATTGAATTTTGTTGGATTAATTTGATATATACTCCGAAATTGTGGTCTATCGGGAAAAAAATTTGGATTTTAAAATTTAAATAAAATTATCTTTTTTAAAATTGGGACTTTAGAAACTAAACATACTAAAAGAGAGTGGTTCTAAAAATAACCGTTATTAAAAATATATTTTAGATAGTTATTGTCGTTTTAACCGCTATTATATGTATCATTTTTAAGAGCTAGTTCATCATTTTAACCGTTATTATAAATACAATTTTACATAATGGTTTCATGTTAATCGCTATCATATCTTATTTATAATAGCGGTTAGTTAACCGCCATCTAAACGTCATTCTTTTATTAGCGTCTCATTTACTGAAACCGCCGCTTTATGTTGTAGTGATATCCCTTATTTTCATGATCAAGTCCAATGAGAAAACCAATTTTTCTCTTATTATCCTATGTTGTTTATAAATGGCTCTCATACATTATTAACTCAATCTTAAAAGCCTAATTCTTTTTTTCGTGAACCTTCGGATTTATTCTCATTATAATGTCTTAATTGAAAATATAAGCTTAAGTTTCACGTCCTTAATATCTAATCAATTTTTCTTTGAATATTCAATAAATTTTTCATTTAAATTAAGTATCTAAAAAATTAACATTTTTGTTTTAAGTTCCTGAATGAAATATTTATCTACATTTATTTTAGTTTTAAGTCCCTAAAGTATTTTGTTTTTTTTTCCTTAATATTGATATATTACGTCAATGCAAGTAATAAAATTATTCAACATGTGAACAATAAAAGTGAAGCAAGTAACAAAGCATACTAAAACAAAAATGGCTACTTTATCATATACTCAATTTGAAGAAAAAGTTAATTCAGTACTAAAAATAAATAAATCATGAAGACCTAAAACTTATTCAAGCCTTAAGTATTTAATGGAAAGTAATATCTGAAGCAATAAGTAGTCCTATTGCCACTTTATAGAAGATGAAAGAGAGAGAACATCCTACCATTCTTTGAGAATGTAACAAAAGTCTTACAATCCACAACAAGAGAAATCATATTGACCGCTGTTTTCGGATGTATTATCTAGATATCACTTTGAAACATCTTAATTGATAAAAACTATAAAAAGAGAATATTTCCTTTAATTTCCTGTATGCTGCAACGCAGGGGACTGTGAGTAAAAAAATGGACACAATACTCAGAAAACGAAACAATCGAAATGTAGCCATAAAGTCGGGTTGCTACCATATTAAACTCATGACTTTGTAGACTCGCTCCTCGAACACTACACGGTATTTTGAACTCCTACGTTGACATATATTATTCAATGGGAGGGTTGAAAACCAAATCCTGCATTAAACAAAGACAGATTTGTTCTAAGTATCATATTCATAAGGGGATATTCAGAAAGATATCTAAAGATAGATGAAAAATTGGGAATTAATGGGACAAACCTGATCGCATACGGGGCAAGTTTCACTTCTTTCCATCCATTCCAGAATGCATGCAAGGTGAAAATGATGGTCGCACTTTGTTGCGAGTTTTGGATTCTCTGCATCATATTCTGCTAGGATAAAAGGATACACATCCATCATCATTTTTCAATTTAACCCACCCAAAACAGAATAACTGTCACATAATAAATGCCATAATTAATACCCCCAGCTAGAATTAAAAAAAAAAAAGACCTAAGAAAACATCACCTTCTAAACAAATTGGGCATGTATCCTCCTCCTCTACTAAATCTACAGGTTTTCCTGACTTTGCAAGTTCAATATCAGAACCCTTAGCAGAATCTAGCTCTATATCAGTCTGAACTTTGTTCTCTGATTCCTTCAGTTCATCCAACTTAACTGGGGTCCCATGATTGTCTCCAGGTACTGGTTCTTGAATTGCATTAGAATTTGTAGAATGCAAGGATGTATTATTCTTGTCACTACGAATTTCTTGAGCTGCAGGTGGAGTTTGAGAGGTACCAAACGTAACATTGAAAGGGATAGGAGCAGGCGGAGGTCTATAAGTATCAGGAGATGAAGTATCTAGATTTGTATCAACCAAGAGTCGGCCAGAGAAAGTAGAAGCGGCACCCTGGTGAGAAGATAGAGGAACATGCTCCTCTGATGCTCTTGGATACTGCTGAGAATAGAATGCAGCAATATCACAACCAACGATAATAAACAATGGAAAGCAATCATAAACTGTGCAGACTTCAAAATCTCATTGAACAAAATATAAAAACTCCACCTTATATGTTCTGATTTTTTTTATCAAGAGCAAAATATTCATTTTGGTCCTCTAAAAATTAGGCGTCAATAGGTTGATCCTTTCATCCTTCCTTTATGATTACATCATACTAGTCTATCAATGTTTTTATACTAAATGGGTCCTCAAAGTGACATCACATTAGTTAGTTCATCAAAACTGATGGCATTCAGCTATTACTGGAGGATCAATTATATGTGTCTTGCTAATAAACGGAAGATTGTAACTTGATCACTTATTATCTGTTTTATTTCTCACATGAACAGACTTCATTGAGAATACACTCAAACCTTCCCTCAGAAGGTGACAAACCAAGTTACAAGCATCTTCCGTGCCAAATCTAAATATCACACATTTGAATATCACACAAGCTATAGCACTGAGTATTAATTATTCGAACCTTTTCTAACCTAAAACAAAACACTGAAATCGATGCACATCCCGCAACAATTAAATCAAACCCTTCTCAGAAAAGCAAAAATATAAAATAAAGGCACAAAATTCAGTGATGAAAACTATACTGACATAATAGTAGGCAGGTGGAGCGCTCAACACAGTCTCCTTAGAAGAACAACAGCAGCAGCAACCGCCCATGACGCCTTATCTCCAGCATGCAAACGTAATTATACCCACTGAGTGCTTCATTTCACCTTCATCAGCATATACATGCAAAACCCCCTTCAGATAATTAATCAATACAAGACCATGATTTTACACATAAACCAGATAAAAACACGCACACACGGGGTGCATAATTCACCTTCATCAGCAAATATATGCACAATCCCTTCAGATAGTCAATTATCATTAGAACACGATTTTACACTCAAGCCACACACACACACACGCTATCGCAAGAGTCCGTAATTCATTCAGTTACCGCAAATTCACGATCGTGCGTGGAAATCACACTACCTCACCGAAAGAGAGTAATAAGACCTAACTTTCCGCAACACAATCCAATTCATCAATACTGATTACCAAAATTTAAATAGAAACTAAATACTAAGTAAACCAATCAGAGAAGGCCGCGATTAATTTGAAACTTGAAAACAGAGATTGATGGAGAAGCGTAACAGATACATAGATAAATCTCAGGCGGAAGTTCAACGAATCCATTTAGAAACAGTCATCGAGCATCAACCAGATATAAAAAGAAGGCGAAAACGCGATAAATTAGATACAGAACATTAAAATTAAAAAGTACACAGTATCGAACAGTTGAGCTGAAAAACGAGGAAAAGAAGGTCATATGGGAAAGTAAAGAGTCCGAAATCAGTAGAAAGAAAGGAGTGGCGATGGAGAATGGAACCTTGAGATTGAGAGTTGATAAATCGAAATTCAGCGACAGAAGACGAAGAAGAAAAAGAAGAAGAAGAAACTGTGCAAGTAGTTGCTTTCGTTGGTATTTTGACACGATGATGTGTTGGTGTGTGTGCGAGTGAGTGCTGAGCAGGTTTACGTGTACGAGAAAAGAATTGCACGGAAAAATTGAAAATTCTCCCACTTACCCCTTCGTTCGCTTTCGTCATTCCTCCTCGCATCTCAACCGTTCACTTCCTCTTCTTTCAGTTAATCAAACGCTTCAACTTTATTTTCTTTCATGGTTCTTTAACGATAAAGATGAAATAAATAAATAAAGAATATTTTGTTCCATCATGGAAAATGAGGATCATTCATCGGATATTGTATGTTTCTATTCCTGATAATACGAACATAATAAATATGATTAATTTAATCTTGACAGGGATTAGGAATGAACCATCGTGATTCTGCGTATAATTATTCATACTTGTGATTGATTATGCTAAGAGATTACTAAAAAGATAACAGTAGTTTATTATATTTTGAAGATGATTAATATTAACTACCCTCTCAACAAATATATAAACCAGCTCAATTATTTTTTACCATTTATAAAATAAATATGATTATATTTATAAACTTATTTTAACTAAATATCTCATTCAACGCCAGGTGTATAATCATCGGACACACAATAGTCCAAGGATAACTATAATTCTTTTATAATTAATTTCCATTTTCTAATCATAATATCGTGCAAATGATTGATTCACTTAATTCAATAACACAACTTATTATTACTATTAATTGTGTTTACTAATATTAATATAATTGGCTTGCATCTAACTTGTATGTATTAAATTAATAATTAAATATTTTATAATAATATAAAATTTGTCCAATCATTTTATTTTACATGTCGGCATAGGTGTTGTCAGATAACTATACATGAAATTAAATATCGATCATGTTAATTAAAGAAGTTAATTTATATCATTTGTTTTTACTAATTCTATCTAAAACAAAATTCGTTTAAAATAATGCCTTTTTCTTAAAGTTCCTTTATATTACAGTTTAAAATAGTAATAATATAAATAACATCAATTAATTAAAAATACTTTTTAATTAGTATCATCAAACATAATAAATTACAATTAAGAATGTAAAAATAAGCTTAATTGATCTCAAAAGGTTCTAAAAATAATCAAATAAACAAATTTAATTTAAATTAAATTAAGCATATTTTTATCTGACACATTTGTCATTAGGTGTGTTTAGATTAAACTTACATAATGGATAATAATTATTTAAAAAATATATTATTATATTAAATATATATATATATATATATATATTATAAATTAATTTAATCATATTTTTTAAGGGTAAATATTGAAATAATTTTTTAACAACTAGTTATTTTAAGATTTAATAATTAATATTAATTATTATTTTAACTTTATAAATTACTAAAAAATAAATGAAGATAATAAATAATAAATTTTTAATTATTATTTTAATATTTAATAGATATATTCTCTTATTATTTATATATTAAATTATTATATTTTAAATAAAAATTAATTATATTAATATAATTTTATTTTTAAAAATATCTTTCTTTATTTTTTTATTTCAATATTTTTTAATTAATTACTTTAGTATATCTATATATGTTAATATATATATATATATATATTTTTTTTTTTCAATGATAAAATTTATTCATTATTCTATTAGTTTTTGACAAAATTAAAAATTATGATCTACTTTAAAATATAGATCAAGTTTCATCATCATTTTTTTTACTTTATCATAGAATTAAGAAAAATTTAATTAAATTACTCAGATTTAATTAAATTATTCGTTTTAACAATTCTAATTACAATTATTTATATTTGATTCATCAACTTTTTTTTCATTATAATTAGATTCACATAAAATATCAAGTTCTCTTATTATATATTACTTCTTCTTTTTTTAATCTCTCCCTATTAAATATTTTTATTTAAGTGTGATGACTATGTATTGTTAGTATAAAATGCGTACTTAAAATTCATCAAACTAAATTCACAAAATTTATTGACATAATAAATTGAGAAAAAAAAACATAATAAATAATATAGAGAGGTTAGTAAAAAAAAATGTTAATCCAATCAAAATGTTCTGCATTAACCCACCGTTCATGAACTAAAAAGTTAATATTATGTTTTGATAGAAATTTTATAATGTTTAGAAAATTTAAATATATTATAATTTATTTCTTAAATGTTTTGTTCAAATAAATTAATTTTAATTTAAACAAATTTATTTTTTATATAATATTTTAATTGTAACTTTATGTGCACATATTAAATAAAGATTTGTCATCACTCCACTAATCAATTTGATCTAATTATGACCCTCATCCTACTCAAGACCACGTGTTATTATAAATTGAATTAAGTCATATTAGATCTTAGGAGGGTTATTTGATCAACAAACAATTAATTAAGATAAAAGATATCAAGTTAGTACAAGGTAGATAAGGTTATATTAGTATAATTTAGATTAATTTGGACTAGATGAAAGGGTTAAGTTTAAACACAATTGACTAAACTTAGTCGAGATATACAATATTTTAGGTTCAACTAAACTATAATGGTTGAGTTAGGTTAATACAAGTTAAGGTGAGTAAAGTTAAATTAAATTGTTTAAAGTGAGTCTCCTTAGGTTAAATTTGGCAAGATAATGTCAATTTAGATTTAGTCAAATTGATGCAAAATATCTCAACATGTTCCATTTATCCTTGTCGGATTATATATCAAAATTAAGTGAAGTTAATTTAAATTATATTAAGATGAATGAGTCTAAAAATATTCTATCCTTAATTAAGCTAAAAATATATCAATAAAAGAACAAAAATATTTAGATAAAAGATAAATACTTGAGAAGAAAATAATTCTTATATTTTTTTAACTAAAATTTAAAATTCTACAATTTTAAATGATAAATATTATCATAAAATCATGAAAAATTATTTTCTTTCAACATTTTTTTCTCACTTACATACTTTATTATAATGTTTTGACTTTTTTAATATATAAAAATAATTTATTTTTACAAATTTATCTTCACACAAATTTAATTAAATTTTGTTAAGTGTTCTAATTCTCTATATATAATTATGATTATATAAGATACCTATTTAATTATCTAATATAATATGAAAGATTATAATTAAAAAAGTATGCATATATAAAAAAATTTAAATGTGTTGTATTTAATTTTTTATTTATTTTTTATGATGAGATGAATGAAAAAAAAATGTAACATTCAAGTTAATAACTAAAAGTAATTAAAAGATTAAAATAAGGGTAAAAGTGTGATTGAATTATCTTCTTTTCCCATATAGTTAATGTTTAGGGATAGTTTGACACTACTTCACAAAAAAAATGTTTAAATAAAAATTGAAGATGAAAGTCATTATAATACATCAGTATACTACATTAATTCTCTCTTGAACCAATGTAGTATCCCTCTCGTATTTAAAAAAAAAAGTTACTATATTTTATTACAATCACTGAAATTTCTTGTTGTAAAATGTCCTCCAGACGTTAGTGAATATGTATCTCTTTTATTATGAAAAAGTTATCTTAAGATAATTAATTTGAGATAAATAATAAAACATGATAGATATTTTTTTTATTTTGTCTGATTCAAAATAGTGAACTAAAAGAACTCAGGTAACCAAGGACTATATTATATGGTTAAGATTGAAAATTTGCTTATCTGGGTAACACAAAAACTCCATGCACAAATTAATCTAAGTAAAATTTAATTCATATCTTAATAAAAAAATTAAAAATAGTATATAATTTTTTTTTCTTTCTTAAAATCAAGAGTATTTGACTTTAGGTAAAAATATTTAGAGCTAAATACATATATTTTTATATATAAAAAATATTAAATTACACTCATCTTAAAACCTTAAATATTATTCATCAAACAATATTCTTTGTAAGTTATTAAATTTTCTATTTGGGATGAGAAATTTCAACTCGTATTTAAATGTTCAAAGAATATTTATCATTATTTTACTTACTGGCTCTTATTTTGTGCAATTTGTTTTTTCCTTACCGTGCAAAGCACGTTGCACAAATTACTGTGAATGTTAAATAAAAAATATAAAAGGGTTAAGATTGTTTTATAGTTTTTATATGAAAAGTTATAGAAGAAAAAAGTGCCTGAAATGGTGGATGCTTTATGATTAGTGGTGATCCCTTTATGAGAAATGGCGTTGGAAGTGA